AGTCAACGATACGTGTGTGTTCCCAAGCGGTCTCCCATCTAAGTACTACCCACGCCCGATGTTGCTTGACTTCGGTGATCGGACGAGAACCGGTATATTCAACATGGTATGATCGTTGACGACAAGTAAAACTATACAATCATATGTATACATAAGGTTATAAATGAAATTTCAGTAATAATTTAATATATATCTGCAATGTTACCATAGGGATAACTGACTTGTAACGCGAAGCAACCGAAAAGTTACCATAGGGATAACTGACTTGAAACGCGAAGCAACTGAAAAGTTGCCATAGGGATAACTGACTTGAAACGCGAAGCAACTGAAAAGTTGCCATAGGGATAACTGACTTGAAATTTTGTTCTTAGCCACGTAATTTAAAAAATCTCGAGAAAATTATATGAACACAATTAACCATTTATATACCATTTTATTCGTTATTTTATTCTGCATCTTTCGTACGAACAAAGTTTTTTCGTATCTTTTACGGTTTTCATGTTATAGAGCAATATGTGTAGATGTTAACTTGTCAAAATGCAAAGTGCGGCTAGGTTGGAGCAATACTCCTCACGATTCGATATTTCTGTAAAGAAAACATATAAAGTATTATACATCGTTAGAAAGGTCTCAAAATTCTTAGTTTTTTTCCCATATATCGCAACTTCGAATTCCAAACGGTGTGGCCTACAGGCGAGTTGCCGTCGTAAAATTTCAGGAAAATCGGAAAATCTCGAGAAAATTATATGAACACACTTAACCATTCATATACCATTTTATTCATAATTTTATTCTGCATCTTTCGTACGAACAAAGTTTTTTCGTATCTTTTACGGTTTTCATGTTATAGAGCAATATGTGTAGATGTTAACTTGTCAAAATGCAAAGTGCGGCTAGGTTGGAGCAATACTCCTCACGATTCGATATTTCTGTAAAGAAAACATATAAAGTATTATACATCGTTAGAAAGGTCTCAAAATTCTTAGTTTTTTTCCCATATATCGCAACTTCGAATTCCAAACGGTGTGGCCTACAGGCGAGTTGCCGTCGTAAAATTTCAGGAAAATCGAAAATCTCGAGAAAATTATATGAACACACTTAACCATTCATATACCATTTTATTCATAATTTTATTCTGCATCTTTCGTACGAACAAAGTTTTTTCGTATCTTTTACGGTTTTCATGTTATAGAGCAATATGTGTAGATGTTAACTTGTCAAAATGCAAAGTGCGGCTAGGTTGGAGCAATACTCCTCACGATTCGATATTTCTGTAAAGAAAACATATAAAGTATTATACATCGTTAGAAAGGTCTCAAAATTCTTAGTTTTTTTCCCATATATCGCAACTTCGAATTCCAACGGTGTGGCCTACAGGCGAGTTGCCGTCGTAAAATTTCAGGAAAATCGAAAATCTCGAGAAAATTATATGAACACACTTAACCATTCATATACCATTTTATTCATAATTTTATTCTGCATCTTTCGTACGAACAAAGTTTTTTCGTATCTTTTACGGTTTTTCATGTTATAGAGCAATATGTGTAGATGTTAACTTGTCAAAATGCAAAGTGCGGCTAGGTTGGAGCAATACTCCTCACGATTCGATATTTCTGTAAAGAAAACATATAAAGTATTATACATCGTTAGAAAGGTCTCAAATTCTTAGTTTTTTTCCCATATATCGCAACTTCGAATTCCAAACGGTGTGGCCTACAGGCGAGTTGCCGTCGTAAAATTTCAGGAAAATCGGAAAATCTCGAGAAAATTATATGAACACACTTAACCATTCATATACCATTTTATTCATAATTTTATTCTGCATCTTTCGTACGAACAAAGTTTTTTCGTATCTTTTACGGTTTTCATGTTATAGAGCAATATGTGTAGATGTTAACTTGTCAAAATGCAAAGTGCGGCTAGGTTGGAGCAATACTCCTCACGATTCGATATTTCTGTAAAGAAAACATATAAAGTATTATACATCGTTAGAAAGGTCTCAAATTCTTAGTTTTTTTCCCATATATCGCAACTTCGAATTCCGAACGGTGTGGCCTACAGGCGAGTTGCCGTCGTAAAATTTCAGGAAAATCGGAAAATCTCGAGAAAATTATATGAACACACTTAACCATTCATATACCATTTTATTCATAATTTTATTCTGCATCTTTCGTACGAACAAAGTTTTTTCGTATCTTTTACGGTTTTCATGTTATAGAGCAATATGTGTAGATGTTAACTTGTCAAAATGCAAAGTGCGGCTAGGTTGGAGCAATACTCCTCACGATTCGATATTTCTGTAAAGAAAACATATAAAGTATTATACATCGTTAGAAAGGTCTCAAAATTCTTAGTTTTTTTTTCCCATATATCGCAACTTCGAATTCCGAAACGGTGTGGCCTACAGGCGAGTTGCCGTCGTAAAATTTCAGGAAAATCGGAAAATCTCGAGAAAATTATATGAACACACTTAACCATTCATATACCATTTATTCATAATTTTATTCTGCATCTTTCGTACGAACAAAGTTTTTTCGTATCTTTTACGGTTTTCATGTTATAGAGCAATATGTGTAGATGTTAACTTGTCAAAATGCAAAGTGCGGCTAGGTTGGAGCAATACTCCTCACGATTCGATATTTCTGTAAAGAAAACATATAAAGTATTATACATCGTTAGAAAGGTCTCAAAATTCTTAGTTTTTTTCCCATATATCGCAACTTCGAATTCCAACGGTGTGGCCTACAGGCGAGTTGCCGTCGTAAAATTTCAGGAAAATCGGAAAATCTCGAGAAATTATATGAACACACTTAACCATTCATATACCATTTTATTCATAATTTTATTCTGCATCTTTCGTACGAACAAAGTTTTTTCGTATCTTTTACGGTTTTCATGTTATAGAGCAATATGTGTAGATGTTAACTTGTCAAAATGCAAAGTGCGGCTAGGTTGGAGCAATACTCCTCACGATTCGATATTTCTGTAAAGAAAACATATAAAGTATTATACATCGTTAGAAAGGTCTCAAAATTCTTAGTTTTTTTCCCATATATCGCAACTTCGAATTCCAAACGGTGTGGCCTACAGGCGAGTTGCCGTCGTAAAATTTCAGGAAAATCGGAAAATCTCGAGAAAATTATATGAACACACTTAACCATTCATATACCATTTTATTCATAATTTTATTCTGCATCTTTCGTACGAACAAAGTTTTTTCGTATCTTTTACGGTTTTCATGTTATAGAGCAATATGTGTAGATGTTAACTTGTCAAAATGCAAAGTGCGGCTAGGTTGGAGCAATACTCCTCACGATTCGATATTTCTGTAAAGAAAACATATAAAGTATTATACATCGTTAGAAAGGTCTCAAAATTCTTAGTTTTTTTCCCATATATCGCAACTTCGAATTCCAAACGGTGTGGCCTACAGGCGAGTTGCCGTCGTAAAATTTCAGGAAAATCGGAAAATCTCGAGAAAATTATATGAACACACTTAACCATTCATATACCATTTTATTCATAATTTTATTCTGCATCTTTCGTACGAACAAAGTTTTTTCGTATCTTTTACGGTTTTCATGTTATAGAGCAATATGTGTAGATGTTAACTTGTCAAAATGCAAAGTGCGGCTAGGTTGGAGCAATACTCCTCACGATTCGATATTTCTGTAAAGAAAACATATAAAGTATTATACATCGTTAGAAAGGTCTCAAAATTCTTAGTTTTTTTCCCATATATCGCAACTTCGAATTCCAACGGTGTGGCCTACAGGCGAGTTGCCGTCGTAAAATTTCAGGAAAATCGGAAAATCTCGAGAAAATTATATGAACACACTTAACCATTCATATACCATTTTATTCATAATTTTATTCTGCATCTTTCGTACGAACAAAGTTTTTTCGTATCTTTTACGGTTTTCATGTTATAGAGCAATATGTGTAGATGTTAACTTGTCAAAATGCAAAGTGCGGCTAGGTTGGAGCAATACTCCTCACGATTCGATATTTCTGTAAAGAAAACATATAAAGTATTATACATCGTTAGAAAGGTCTCAAAATTCTTAGTTTTTTCCCATATATCGCAACTTCGAATTCCAAACGGTGTGGCCTACAGGCGAGTTGCCGTCGTAAAATTTCAGGAAAATCGGAAAATCTCGAGAAAATTATATGAACACACTTAACCATTCATATACCATTTTATTCATAATTTTATTCTGCATCTTTCGTACGAACAAAGTTTTTTCGTATCTTTTACGGTTTTCATGTTATAGAGCAATATGTGTAGATGTTAACTTGTCAAAATGCAAAGTGCGGCTAGGTTGGAGCAATACTCCTCACGATTCGATATTTCTGTAAAGAAAACATATAAAGTATTATACATCGTTAGAAAGGTCTCAAAATTCTTAGTTTTTTTCCCATATATCGCAACTTCGAATTCCAAACGGTGTGGCCTACAGGCGAGTTGCCGTCGTAAAATTTCAGGAAAATCGGAAAATCTCGAGAAAATTATATGAACACACTTAACCATTCATATACCATTTTATTCATAATTTTATTCTGCATCTTTCGTACGAACAAAGTTTTTTCGTATCTTTTACGGTTTTCATGTTATAGAGCAATATGTGTAGATGTTAACTTGTCAAAATGCAAAGTGCGGCTAGGTTGGAGCAATACTCCTCACGATTCGATATTTCTGTAAAGAAAACATATAAAGTATTATACATCGTTAGAAAGGTCTCAAAATTCTTAGTTTTTTTCCCATATATCGCAACTTCGAATTCCAAACGGTGTGGCCTACAGGCGAGTTGCCGTCGTAAAATTTCAGGAAAATCGGAAAATCTCGAGAAAATTATATGAACACACTTAACCATTCATATACCATTTTATTCATAATTTTATTCTGCATCTTTCGTACGAACAAAGTTTTTTCGTATCTTTTACGGTTTTCATGTTATAGAGCAATATGTGTAGATGTTAACTTGTCAAAATGCAAAGTGCGGCTAGGTTGGAGCAATACTCCTCACGATTCGATATTTCTGTAAAGAAAACATATAAAGTATTATACATCGTTAGAAAGGTCTCAAAATTCTTAGTTTTTTTCCCATATATCGCAACTT